GAAAGCCATTTGGTTCACCGTTTGAAGCAAACCCAAATATATTTATGTACAGTACATTGCGTGTACATTGACATGAGTAAAGAACCCCCTGAATATCTTCAATGTTAGACAAATAAACCTCACCATTCCGCTGGTTACTGCGCTACTTAGGATATCAAAAGGCGCCAAAAGGTCAAATGGTCAAACGGTGAACCCTGGTGTTTGGGTTGGTTCGACAGTCATTTGTTGCTTGGCTCTGGTGGGACCATGGCCAGGAGGACGTATGTTTCTCAAATCTCTTGTTGCATTGAAAGGAACCAACAGGAAAGCAGCAAACTGGAGGGGGTTCCCTAATTGTAAGAACCTCCCATGTGCCACGGTCAAAATACATACTTACTTATGGTCATGGGTCCGTTAGCAGGACCGTCAACTAGGGTTCCTCCTGACGGAACCATGGCCAGGATTCACAGGATTTTTGACCATGGCACACATTGTATTTGGTCCTTAGATCTTGCAGCAGTTCTTGTTTTATTTATCGAGGGAAATTTCACTGTTCTCACGTCGCCACGGAACCTTCAATTGGAACCTTCAAATGGGGTAGGGTCCCAGTCGACCATTTTCCTCAGGCCATTTCGACCGTGTCAGTCTCACATCAATGTTCACTCCTGGTTCTGTTATTGCCCGTTCTGCTCAACACACAGTTTATTGAACATGCGCAGGAGGGCTTGTTTGCTGTGGATCTGCCTCCTTGCTGCCAATCTTCTTTTTCGGCATGTGAGTGGCAGGTCCTGTTTGGAAAGGAACCCTCTTTGTTGGATGCCAGAGGGAAGCCACCAAGTGTGGGGCAACCGCGAGACGCCTTCGGCACGAGGTTCCGAAAGTGCGTCAAGGTGGCCCTGAAGCGCGTCTCGATTTTTTTGGCACAGAGCACCAAGGAGCTCGACAGCCGGTTAGGTGTGAGAGGGGCCGGCTATCTACGAGTGCAGCAGAATGGAATGGTTTCCTCCATGTGGCTTGTTCAAGGGCATGCATTTTCGGGTATGGATTTTGGAGGTCTTGCGATTGTATGGGTTGTTCAAATTTAATCCTTAGTGCGAGGGAGTGGTTTCCAGAAAGCTACCAAAACCCCAGCTGGAAAGGGCTTGTGTTTGAAAGAAGCATGCTTGAAATGAAGGAAAATTGTGTTCTCACTTGTTTCGCATCTTCTGTTTCGAGAAATATAGTTCAGAATCAAACCAAACATATCCTTTTTGGTTGGCAAGAGCAGCAACATGAATAAACCACTTGAGGTAACCAGCACATTTATTATCCTAGTAGCTTTTCAAGGGTGGGTCTCCCTGGTTACCATACAGCAAATGGAATCTCCCTGAATGGCCTGTTCTGGTCTCAGCCCGAACTCCAAGCCGAGAAAGAGCGTTTGCGGGAATTCCCGCGTTGAATTGCGCTTTGCATTTGATTAGAAGAGATTTCATTTCTAAGGGGTTGTGCATTTTTAGGCCCCAAAATGGTGGTCGTCCTTTTGGTTTCCCTTTAAAAGCACCAAACAAAGGGTGCCCACAAAAAAGACAATCTGGGTCCACTGAGTGATGCCACCCATGCTACCCTCTAAAATGACTAGACACACCCTCTACAACACAGTTGAAGGCAAGACCCGACTGATCGAATGAGTTCCGTGGACCCGCAGGCGTCGCCCAACCTCTAGTGTCCAGCTCAATCCGAAATGCCAGCCAAGTAAGAAGAACTGTTTGGGCGTGGCAACCTCATCGGAGCTTGCGATCTCAATGAAGTGTCCTTTTCTTGCTGTCCCATCCCCTAGCAATACTGTTGTAGTCCTCGGCCTAAAAGTTGTTGGTTTTACTAGCTTCGTCCAGCCCGATCTTTCAACCCGTTAGGGTCCCTGTGTTGGTCTCATGTAGCCTTATGTTTCTAGGTTTGCGAGATGCTATTTTGAGTGTACCCCTTTCAGGTTCAAAGGCAAATAATGCAAAAGGAAAGCCATTGGTTAATCCTAAATCCACAAAAGACCCACCCATATTCTACCCAATATCGGGAAAGCCCCCCCCCACACACCCGTTGGGCAAGTCGACGTCTACGACCTCCACAGGAGCCGGCCGAGAAGTTGCTGGCACGCCTTCGACAGACCTGGGCACTGCCTCTTGGCTACACCGCAGGTGGGTCCTCCCTCGATTTGGGGGTGTGCCTTTTTGAGGGAACCCTTTTTGGGATTGGCTTTAAGGGAAACCAACAGAAAGCAACCATGTTTGGGACCTCCACAACGGACGTGAATTCCAGGCAACTTGTAGCTTCCATGTGGAACAGAATCCGACCTTGGGACCCGGGCACCTGAAGTTTTTGTGTCAACGGTGCCCTGGGTGCCAAATTCCGCCCAGAGTGAGTCACGTCCAGCGGCAAGCGCCTGAGTTGGGAAGTCCGCATCGCCGCATCGGCAGCCACTGGTTTTTGGCCTGGCACGTTGCCACTACATTAGCAGGTAACCAGGGGAAGTGATGTGAAATCTGGTAGCCATACCGAAAGGTTACCTACTGTAGTGAGTGGCAGAACGCCAAGCACTGGGATCAAAGTCGTGGGGGCGACACCCTCGATGGCCACAGGGCAACATATCTTTGCCTATTGATAGCCATTTTGGGGGGTTGTGGGGATTGGATTGCCACTCGGTATCACAAAAAAGTGCTTGGAAAGGTGTCCTTGCAGTTTGATTCAACATGGCACTGGTTTACAGCATTAGTTATGAGTGTGTAACAATCAGGTAGCACATGGAAACACAAGTGTGCCCACCCCCCCCCCCGCCCCTCCCTTGGCTGAAATCTCCAAACATGGGCAAACTGTACCTATTGAGTTGGGTATGCTAGCTGACTGCTACTCACCATACCTGAAACTTCACTTAGGGTAGTCATCGGCCAGCCACAAACAGAGGTCCGCTTGATTCTTTACATGTTGTGGGTAGAGCCCCTTATCGCTGAGGCCATCTTTGCAGTCAGACCGGTCGGACCTCCACATGTGAGGGTGAGCGATTCGCGCAGCGCCCAGAGAGAACGCCAGAGCAGTGGAGCCAAATCCGTTTCCTATAGGGGGTCCTTTTCTGCCTGACTTCATACCTGACCAAAGGCAACCATCATTGACAATCCTGGAAGCCTTTGGACACTGCTCTGTGATTGTTGGAACGTGATCGCGCAAAAGCGCACACGGCTCCATCCAAAATGGGGAGCCGCAATGGATTGAGACGTTCTCACCTCGACCTTCCGCGGGAGTGTTTGCAATCTTTACCAGGGTTGCTCCGAACGGACCGGAGAACCAAGCACTGGAAGGACATGGGTGAACGGTGTCCTTCTCGCGTTACTAGAGATTCTAGAAGCCATAGTTCTAGCAACTTGTACCGATCGGGATCCGTGTGGGAGCAACCCTGATGATGGTACGTCCAGTTGTTTTATGAAAGCACATCAAAGGGGGGCCACCCAGTTTGGGGAGGTCCTCCGCACAATCCGCTCTGCCGTGGAAGGTGGTTGCCTTGCTCCGCAACAGCAAGCACCCGGAGCAATGGGCCGCAATGGGTTTCCAAAAGCAAGGTGGACCCAAAAAGTGCTCGGGTCCTTCGGCTTTCGCTTTCAACACTTTTTACGGACCCCAGATGTGCCAAGTTGCCAAGCTTAAGCACACGCTAACGTCGGGTTCCCATTTTGGACACCCTGGAAATCAAGGACCTTCCAACTGGTCCAGCCTTAGCTTCACAGCGGATGGAAGGAAAAGTGCGAAGCGCGGGAAGGCGCACTGACGGATCCCCGCGTGGGCCCGATGGGCCCGCAGGCTTGGCTCTGGGGCTGGAATTCTATCATTCCGACGTGCTTTTCACTGAAGTTCCCGAAACCAGTATTGTCCAGTTTAGTAGGTTCCACTCCCTGGTTTCATGGAACATCTAGTAGCACGCATCAAACCTTTAGGGTGTGTCGATAATAGGGGGCCCCCCAAATGTGAGGTTTCACATTGGTTTCCCTTTAAAACCAACCAAACATTGTACCCTCAAAACAAGACACGCCCGCCTTTTCCCAGTGATTTCCCAGCCTCTGCAAGCAAGTGAGGTTGAAGTGAAGGGTTTGCCCGTATTTCCTTTGGACATTGACCTCCCATATCAGCACATAGGGCGGAGGGAGGCACTTACAACGGAAGCAGCGCAGGGGCATGAAGAAGGCTGGAACGACTCCTTCCCTGATATACACAAACCAGACCCGCAGAACGGCAGGTGTCCCTTGAGCTATCCTTAAAACAAGCCAAACACTCAACAAGGGTACCCTCAAAACATGCCTTGGCGGTTTCAAGCATCATGTTCTGGAAAGGTCAAGTTCAAGTGAGCGATCTTTTGGTTGATGTTATATGTTTGTCTTCAAATTGTTTGAACCTCCCGAAGGATGAGAGGTTTCCCTTTGTCCGGTTCAACCTACCCCAAATGGATACCCTCGAAAACACATTCACCCATGGGTACCCGTTTTTGGTGGTTGGGTCTGGAACAAAACCAGAGGGGAAACTACTCATTGGGAGACCAGGGCGTGTGTTTTTTTGGTTGGTACCCTTTTAGTTTGGTTTAGCAACGACAGCCGAAGCCATTTTTGGGTCCCGGTCCCTATTCCAATCTTGTCACATACCCAGATGCTCTGCTTCCAGTTCCCACTACAGTATGGCTACCAGGTTTAACATCGTGCCTTCCCCTTACTACCGTTACTATCAGAATGGCAAAACGCCTGGAAGCACTGGGCTTTAGGGAAACCAAAGGCTACCGCAGACGCCCAGTCAGAATACTGGCGTGTAGAGAGGTGGCTGTGGGTCAAAACCAATGGGATCCCATTCTGGTAGGTGAATTCACCACCCATTTTAGGCTTCCTATTTTTGTGGTTGGGTTGAATCGGATGTCTGGGGTCTAACCGATTTGGATTTTGACCCACGGGAAGGTAACTGGAGCTGGGGAAGGCCACCGGATCCCAAGCCGGAGCGGAGCCGGAGCGGGACTTTAGGTCTTCGGGGCCTCTAGCGCTGGCGGCCTGGCGCAGCTGGACATCTTCGCGGATCAGAAGAAGTGCTCAGCGCTCGGTCGGGTCGCGGCTAGAAAACGAGTTGGTTGCCTATCTGGAGTTGTTTTAAAGAGAAGCCAGAAACAACCAATACAGTAAGGTTTGTGGCTTGTGGTCAGTGACAACCCGTGCCGGATGATAAGTTCGAGTCGGAACTTCAATTCTATGGGGGACTGTTTGCTAACCATAGATCGGGAAAGCTGGGTTCTAAATCGCCAATGGGGGGGGGGGCAACTGTGTGCTAAATGTCCAATCCGCGAATGGGGCAAAAGGAAACCGAAAGGATATGGATATGGGAGGTGTCTTTTTGTTTGTTTTTTCAGGGTAGTGGGAACTCCGGATTAATCAATGCGTCCTGTTCCTTGGAAAGTGACGATTCCCGACTAAACCCCTGGACACCCCCCTATTCATAAACTGGAGTTGATATATCTGGTTGGGCATATCTAATGTGGCTCCGGTTTTGCGAGTCCCATCCCAGAAACCGTTTGGCAGAACCGAGGTGTTGGATGCTGTGTGTTGCATTTTTGAACACGCAAGACTGTTCCAAAGGGTGTTTTGCCGATGCTCACGGCATGGATTCCATCAATGAGGTAACGTGCTCTACTACTTCAGGCCCTCCAAGTGTGGCCTTCGTCAGATAGGCATTGAATTTTGGAGCGCGTGATGATGATGTCAGCGTGCAGCTTTTTCGCCATTGGCAACTGACTGACAGAAAGTTCATGTCATTGCGAACTGGCATCAAATGGACAACTGTTTTCAGGCTGTCAAAAACAGCCAAAATGCTTGAAGGGAGCCAACACGACCCAATTGCTCTTCTTGGTCTCCTGTTCAATTGAAGGAGCCTCCCTCCGGTGGCAACGTAGAGGCGTCAATCTCCATGGCCGACATGGGCGCGCGCAGCTTGGGGTTGGTTTTCAGGGCGGGCCCAAGAAATACCCCCCCCCCCCCTCCGCGCTTTGGGCGTTGGAGTCTCAGGTCAGACCCTTACCCTGGAGGCAGGCTTCGGGGCTTTTCGCTGGAGGCAACATGTGGACAAATCCACAAGCACAAGTTGCTGGGTGGTTACCAGTGGTTAATAAACCAGTATTCATAAGTGTTTCAACTGGTACTGTGTGGATTTTGTCCATCCACAGCGTCTATCTGAGAGGGTAGTTTGCACTATGCAATTGCCCTTAACTCCCAACGACCCCCAAGCGAGCATGAAGCATAGGACCTTCACACATTGGTTATATATATATATATATCCCGCCTTTTCCTGGCGGCTTGCGGTACTGGAATCAACATCACAAGCTTAGGGCTGAAATCAATGGATAGGCACTCTCCTGGCCAGCTGACCCTCTCATGGAGAAGCACCTCAACAGTTGAAGCATCATCAGGCTTCAACATCGGACACTTTACTTTCACGAGGGCCTACGTACTTGATGTGTCTCAAATTCGAGATTTCATTCTGGCGTTTGAAGTTCCACAGATTCCGTTGCCCAACTGAGCCGAAGATGACGCCAGGGCACGATGATGGCCGTCTGCCACGCTAGCCAGCGTCCCAGATGAAGACTGCGAAGCACAGTTATGGAAACCTGGGTTTCGATCTTTAGGCCGGTACTTTTTGGTGATGTCAGGTATAGGGATGGGAATCGCACGTTGGCCTCCCCGAAAATTGCCATTTTCCACAACCATGCTGCGATGTGGCGGTTAGTCAAATTCAGTCGGCTCGCGTCGGGCAGGTCTTCCCTGCAACAACGATCCAGAGTATCACCTGGAAAAGCAGCGTTCACCCCGAAAGTGCTGGACCCGCTTTAGAGTCCCTTTCTTGCCGACAGACAAACGCTGGAACGTGAATCTCAACCCTGATGAGACCCCCATTAACCGCACAAGGCAAGGAGAAGTACCCATGCGTGGGAGACCGAAGCAGCAATCAGGGCTCCATTCACTTTCAAACCAGCTGTGGGACCCAAATGTACACCTGCCAGTGCTAGTAGCTGCGCAGCAGGTCTTGCCTTGTCATTTAGCGGGTCCAAGCAGCCCTAGCTGAAACGAAACCTCCTTGCTTGGTATCCGGTATCCTGCCCGCTTCAGGATCTTGAATTGCTTCATCCGATGTGCCGTCACTGTGTTGTCCAGTTGACACCCTGCTCGGGCTGGTAAACTGAAAGGTTAGTAGGGTTGCCCAACACCTCGAGACCATTCGAAACCATAAGTGTGTGTGTGTGCGCGCGTGTTTGTATTTAAGGGACTTGCTCACTTTGGTTTACAGGGAAGGGACCTGTTCACTTTGGTTTACAGGGAGAAACTCGGACAGCCACCATGATTAGGATCCCCTTTGAACCATACCCAAGCTGCAACGGTAGAACATAGGTACTTGTTGATTCCTTCTTTTCGAGGGACCAAGTTTCTGCCCGTGTGATGGTGCTCAGCGAGAGCAACCCTGTCGATGGAGTGCTGGTAGCTTTGTCGTTTAACGCATCAGGTGTTTGTTCAGCCCTTTCGCCTATGTCCAATCATGGTTTCTGAAAAGAAGGATCCCTGACAAGAATGGTCGAACTTTGACCCTACAAGATTGGCCTAAATGGCGGGCAGGCAAGCCTAGCCCAATTTGCCTGTCGTGCTCGCTCCTTGTCGCCGGACTAACCTAAGCAAAGGTTTCCCCACCCAGCAAAACTAGTAGTGCTTTACTTTTTGAACTCAAGGGACAATGATAATGCGACTTTTTCACCGTCTCCTGGATTTCCCGAATGGAAAAAGTGGGAAACACCCTCGCTGTCCAATTTTGGCGACTCCCAAACAAGACGCGTGTTTTTTGAGAAATCTCATTTGGAGTTTCAGCACGTCTACAGTTACAAAACCAAACCATGTTTTAGGACTCGAATGAGTCTCGCTTGTTGGTGCAAGGACACCTTCGGTATTTATTAAATCAGCCGACCCTTCATTGCGTCATTGCTGGTTTGGATTGATGGTTTGGGGAAGCACGCCGAGGCAACCTTGATCTTCCACCCTGAAACCGGCCCTGCCGATTCTGAACTTTAGAGGAGGACAACAAGAGTTGGAAGACTAAGGTTTCGTTGGTTTACCCCCTTTTGGTTGGCTCTCTTCCTGAGGATTGGCCAATAAGCACTCCAAACTTTTTGTTGTCCACTCAAATGGTGCGACTCATGGAATGAGTTGATTTCAAAGGCAAACCCAAAGAGAACACGGGCCATTTTGTGGCCCCTCAGTTTGAATCATGGGATAAGTTGATACTTTTTGGAGTTCACAGCCACAAATTGCCCTTGGTCAGGGTTCCTTCCCATGAATTGTTTCCAACTTCTTGTTTGTCCTCTTCTCAAGGGGCCCGTTTCAGGGTGCGAGATCCAAGGTTGCCCGAGCGTACTTCCAGTCAAGCCATTGTAGTAGCCAGGGGCAACCAGGGTTTAAAAAAACCTAGAGGTATGGTGTGTCGTTTGTTGGGGACCCCTTTTTGGTTGGGTTCTAAAGGGACATCGAAAGGAACGCCACCATGTTGGGGGGTACCCTATAAGAAGAATAAGAAGACATGCATAACACACCTGGGTACCTAAAGAATGGCAACTTGGTCAGTGGGAAAGGCTTCCTTCGCGAGGCGAAGGCCGGATCCTGGTGGCTGCTGAGACCTCTGTCACCTGCCTCACGCCTATCCCCTTCCAGCAGCAGGCGCGCGGGAAAAGGTGCAGGTGGTGAAAAACATGTTCGCACAGGCTAAGGTCTCTGGTCCTAAATGATCTTGCATTTTAAGTGTTACTACCTATGGACCGGACTCAAGCATATGATGTTTGCTTGGGGCCAAAAGCTGAAGTAGACTTTGCCACAAACGATGCGCATGCTTGGGAAGAGAGCCATGACCATTCACAGATTCGGAGTCTTGACCATGACTCATTCATGTCTGTGTTTTTCTTTGATTCGGTACCCTTTGAGCCGGCAAGCTCTTTCTTATGGGCCGCTCGGTTCCGGCCAACCCCTGATGGCCCTAGCAAACTGATAACAGGGCTGCAGCGCAAACGTGGAGTCGTCAAGGTTCATTGAGGGACAGCGGGGGCTTGCAAGTTCAACCGCACAACCCAGGCGACTTTCTAATTGACCCGTGTCCATGGGAAAGGCACACAATGTGACACTTGAACTCTATATATAAGCAAAACATCACAGGTGATGCTGGGGAAGTGAACAGACTTGAACAGACCCTCACCAACCACCCCAGGGCCTAACGTGACTTTTGAATTCTGCGTAGAATACAGTGTTGACAATGATGATGGTGATGAGGATGTTGTTGTTGTTGATGATGATGATGATGGTGATGTGCTTCGACTCGAGTGACATTTGAAGCACCCTTCCCGTGCGCCTCCCCTTTTGGAGAACGGGTCAGCGAATTTGAGCATGTTGTTTTGTTGGGATTCTGAAACGCCATTGTCTAAACAGGAGACCAGAGGGACAAGCCCATGCTGGCAGTTCCAAAATTCAGAGACTTGGAGACAGCCCCATACTATGGCTATGGGTCAGTGGACATCAACCATTATGAAAGTGATGTCCGCAGAAGGGTTCCCACACTCAAACCTGTACTCACGGTTTCGACATTGCTGTCTACTGCTCATTTTGAAAGTTAACCAATTTGAATGCTGCAGTTTTGGGGGGCGACGTTTCAGGACGCCTGCTTGTTTTCTTCCGGGCGCGAGGTCAGTTGAAAACCTTGACACATCAACAAAGAGTGTATATTTGGAGATGTACCCAAGCCGGGGGCCTTTACTTTTTTCCTTCTTCGGTTTTCAGCTGGCAGAATTTTAGTTCACCCTATGTGGCTTCTCGCCAGTCGGAGAGGTGCCTTAAGGGGGTTCTTGAGACTGATGTCAACTCACTTGGATGGTCTGAAAGTCAGCCAAGATATGTTTCCCCCCCCCAACCCCGCCAACCCCCAGTGAACCGTCAGTGTGGGGGTACAATAAGAGCTTGCAGAATTAGCACGAGGTTGTCGGATACTATGAAACCAATTTGAAGCCACCGAGGGATTAGAATCATGATAGAAACTAGTTTGCCGCTCATACGCAGGAGTTCAGCGGCACCCTTGAGATCTGTTTTTTCTCATGTCCATGCCTAAACTCACCTCCCCAGTTTCTGGACCTAAGTCACTGTTGGGGACCATTTTGGTGGGAAAACATAGGCCTGTTTTGGGCTAATCTACGGGTTGGGAACGTCAACCTCCTTGTTCCACCGCTTGGGGCGGGTCCGTCCCCGCTTTGCACGGAAGGTGGAGCAGCTGCTTGCTCAGGCGATGTTGGGAGTCCAGGGGAGGGTTGAAACTACGGGGCCCGGGCTTCAGATTTTGTTCAACCTTTGGATTTTGGACGGGTTAGCGTTTGCCTCGTGTTGAAACCCGAAAATCCACGATTGGGGCACCCCAAATTGGAACGGGCTTCAGGAAACGAAAAGGACGCTCTTAACATTTTCAGAGAAGCCCCTCCCTAGTTCTGGACACGCTCTATGGACAACTTGAACAAAACCTGGAGCTGCAGTGGTTTCCTTTTCCTTTCTTTTGGATGGGCTTCCCTGCAAGATCAACCACTCAAGAAGGGTGTTTGTCCTTTGTCTCTCCGCCGGCCACTCCATGTCTAGGAAAAAAGATACAAAGGAATCACACAGCACCTCAAGGAGGGTGGTTGGGCAACCCAACATGTTGGACCGGGGTGGCAAGATTGGCCCCTGCGCATGACTAACACTCAGTTGCCCTACTTTTTCGCGGCTCTAGCCAAGCAAGCTTACATTTGAGGCGTTTTTGTATGGACTGCCCCCATTTCATGGCGAGTCTTGCCTACACGAGCTCACCCGGGATGAAGAAAACAGGGATCGCTCCTCTCGAAACAAATCAGACTGCAATCGTCCAGAAAAGGGGGCCGTGGAAAGTAGTACTTCTTGGGCCTCTAAAAGATGATCAACACACAAGCGTGGAAAATCGGGCCGATCGGGCATACATTGCCCAAATGAGTGGTTTCCTTTGGCTTTTCTACCCAACTCAGGCCCTAGGAAGGGTGCCGACCCTCAAAGCCAAACAAATGGATGCCTGACAAGAAATCACCCAAAAAACAGGGAACCGCGCTGGTTCTGGTCTCTCAAACGCGTTGTGTTTTCCCCTTTTTTCGTGGAAGCTCCGATCCGCCAGGTGCGCACAAGCGAGGCCCTGGATCTGATCAATGCCACCTACGGCCGGGCCCAAGTGGCAGTTGTCAAAACGGTTTCGGGATACCATTTTGGTAGGCGAATTCACCATCCATTTTAGGCTTCCTATTTTAGTAGGGATTGGGATATTTTGGGGTAGGTGAATTCACCACCCAGTTTAGGCTTCCTATTTTAGTGGGGATTGGGATATTTGGGGTAGGTGAATTCACCACCCAGTTTAGGCTTCCTATTTTAGTGGGGATTGGGATATTTTGCGGTAGGCAAATTCACCACCCATTTTAGGCTTCCTAGTTTAGTGTGGATTGGGATATTTTGGGGTAAGTGAATTCACCACCCAGTTTAGGCTTCCTATTTTAGTGGGGATTGGGATATTTTGGGGCAGGTGAATTCACCACCCAGTTTAGGCTTCCTATTTTAGTGGGGATTGGGATATTTTGGGGCAGGTGACCACCCAGTTTAGGCTTCCTATTTTAGTGGGGATTGGGATCTTTTGGGGTAGGTGACTTCACCACCCAGTTTAGGCTTCCTATTTTAGTGGGGATTGGGATATTTTGGGGTAGGTGAATTCACCACCCAGTTTAGGCTTCCTATTTTAGTGGGGATTGGGATATTTTGGGGTAGGTGAATTCACCACCCAGTTTAGGCTTCCTATTTTAGTGGGGATTGGGATATTTTGGGGTAGGCGAAGTCACCACCCAGTTTAGGCTTCCTATTTTAGTGGGGATTGGGATATTGTGGGGTAGGTGAAATTCACCACCCAGTTTAGGCTTCCTATTTTAGTGGGGATTGGGATATTTTGGGGTAGGTGAATTCACCACCCAGTTTAGGCTTCCTATTTTAGTGGGGATTGGGATATTTTGGGGTAGGCGAATTCACCACCCATTTTAGGCTTCCTATTCTAGTGGGGATTGGGATTTTTTGGGGTAGGTGAATTGACCACCCAGTTTAGGCTTCCTATTTTAGTGGGGATTTGGATATTTTGGGGTAGGTGAATTCACCACCCAGTTTAGGCTTCCTATTTTAGTGGGGATTGGGATATGTTGGGGCAGGTGAATTTACCACCCAGTTTAGGCTTCCTATTTTAGTGGGGATTGGGATATTTGGGGTAGGTGAATTCACCACCCAGTTTAGGCTTCCTATTTTAGTGGGGATCGGGATATTTTGGGGTAGGTGACTTCACCACCCAGTTTAGGCTTCCTATTTTAGTGGGGATTGGGATATTTTGGGGTAGGTGAATTCACCACCCAGTTTAGGCTTCCTATTTTAGTGGGGATTGGGATATTTTGGGGTAGGCGAATTCACCACCCATTTTAGGCTTCCTATTCTAGTGGGGATTGGGATTTTTTGGGGTAGGTGAATTGACCACCCAGTTTAGGCTTCCTATTTTAGTGGGGATTTGGATATTTTGGGGTAGGTGAATTCACCACCCAGTTTAGGCTTCCTATTTTAGTGGGGATTGGGATATTTTGGGGTAGGTGAATTCACCACCCAGTTTAGGCTTCCTATTTTAGTGGGGATTGGGATATTTTGGGGTAGGTGAATTCACCACCCAGTTTAGGCTTCCTATTTTAGTGGGGATTGGGATATTTTGGGGCAGGTGAATTCACCACCCAGTTTAGGCTTCCTATTTTGGTGGGGATTTGGATATTTTGGGGTAGGTGAATTCACCACCCAGTTTAGGCTTCCTATTTTAGTGGGGATTGGGATATTTTGGGGCAGGTGAATTCACCACCCAGTTTAGGCTTCCTATTTTGGTGGGGATTTGGATATTTTGGGGTAGGTGAATTCACCACCCAGTTTAGGCTTCCTATTTTAGTGGGGATTGGGATATTTTGGGGCAGGTGAATTCACCACCCAGTTTAGGCTTCCTATTTTGGTGGGGATTTGGATATTTTGGGGTAGGTGAATTCACCACCCAGTTTAGGCTTCCTATTTTAGTGGGGATTGGGATATTTTGGGGCAGGTGAATTCACCACCCAGTTTAGGCTTCCTATTTTGGTGGGGATTTGGATATTTTGGGGTAGGTGAATTCACCACCCAGTTTAGGCTTCCTATTTTAGTGGGGATGGGGATGTTCACTGGGGGTACGATTTGGATTTTGACCCATGGCTAAGTGGTCCAGTCCTCTCATGGCATCTGACATGGAACCTGACGTTTCGGGGTCCGAGACCATGATTCCTTCAAGATGCGCCCAGTGGATTACATGTTGGTGGACATGAGGATGAGGGTGCTTATTTTGTGGTTTTAAAGGGAAAGCAAGAGGAAGTGTCTCATGGCTAAACAGCACATGAGAAACGTACAACATGACTGCGGTATCGTCCCATGTTTGAGCTCAAAGAAACCAACCAGGGATGGTAAATCACCCCCCCCCCCCCCCCCGGAGGCTCTTTGACCCCTGCAAACCCTTGAAAACCCTCTCGAATGCTAGGTCTAGTCTTTCAGTTTTTTCCCCAACAGCCGGAAAGTTAGGGGTCTCTGATATGGGTTCCAGAGCGTTTTTGTTCGCCAGGCCCGGAAGACCCGGAGCGGCAAGTGCAGCTGGAGAAGTGCCATAAGCTCGCCGGCTGGGTGCGGGAACCGAGGGATATTTGGCCGAAGTTGGTGAGTGGGTTCCACCCTCAGAGCTCGTTTTTTTTGGGCGAACTCGCTTGTACTTTTGGTATTGCCACTTTAGTGGCAAAACAGTTGGGTTTTGGCCTATCCACCCAAGTGGGCTCGAGACCAGATAAGCCGATGGTTGCGAGGCAACCAGTCGTTTTGCTTCTTGTGCTAGGGTAGGTCCCTTGGTGACCTATGCGGGTAAAGGGACTCACTGAAGCACGTACTGCTAAACTGCCCTTTGGCAATAACACAAGGAGTTGCTGCCCAAAAAGAGGCTTGTTTGTTCATGCTTCAACAGGTGGGCCCTACTCTAGTGCCACGAACGTTGTCGAATCCAGTAAGACGTGACTGGTGAATCGATCGGTCGGGGTGCAGGCAGATCATTTGCACTACTTACTGTGCGACCGATGTTGGTGGTGGGTAAAACAAGCGATTCCACCCAGGATGAAGTCCCCCTAGTCGCTTCTAATTCCGATGAATTCAGATTGACACGCGACTTGGAGGATTTGGACGCCCAAACATGGTTCCAAAATTGGATCTTGTGCAGTTTCCTTTCAACACCAGCATCCCCCCCCCCCGCTCGAAAATGGAATATGAGGGATTATGAGGGGTTGGGGGGGGACAGGGGGGGGGGGGGGCGCAAGGTAGGTTTTCAGACCCTGGGGGGGAGATGCAACTTGTTGCATTTTTTGCAGGTAGAACCACCTCCCCCTCCTTGAATTCCATTTTACGGGTGTGCAAGGGTGCACAGGTAGGTATGGGGGGAGGCAATCCTTCAGAACCCCCCCCCCCCCCATCCGCTTCCAATTAACCCCCTCTTCCCAGCCAGGGACAAAATGGAAGCAGGGGGGTAGGTCAAAAAATGAAATTTGGGGGGACTCCCTCCCCGCGAGTTGGAAGTGGTAAACTAGCTGAAATGGATCCCACCAAAAAGACCCTTGTTTCAATCACACCAAGGTGGATGCAGATACCCAGGTTGAGCCCTATTTTGAAACAAACCCAAGTTTATACGCACAGGCCGGCGCAATGGCTGCCTACTGGCTCCCAAAACTAGCATGGTGGTGCCTTTTTTTCTCGCAAGAATCCCGGTTGATCCACCCATATCAATTTCGCACAAAAGGTGACGAGGGGCTGGTTGCTTCAACAAATGTTGCCACCAACTTTGGAAACTAGCCCACTGCTGCCAGGTACCTCTACAGTAGTTAACCAGGTATTGTTTCTCTGGGTGTTCCGTGATAGTGTCCCTTGGTTCCCTACTATGGTGGCTTGCCTGGCAGCACTGGGTGGGTCTTTAATTCATGGGGCGAACAGGGGGTTGAATCCCGCAACTCTGCAGTTTTCCCCAAATCAGTTTCAACAGCGCCTCTTTTTGGGGCACACCGATTTGTTTTTTTTCTCCGATTCCCGCCCTCTTTTGGACGCTCAGCGGCAGCAGTCTGGTTCGGTGTTGAAGCGGCGATGAAGTTCCAAGGCACTCTTTGCGGACCTGCAGTTCCTCAAAGCCTTCCAGCACTTCATGCCGCGAACTCAGAGACCTGTGCCCAACCGCTGTTTCCCATGTCCAAGTCTCAACTGTCCAGTAAGCAGTGAGTAAGCAGTGGTTGGGACCCGGGTGCTAGGCATTTATTGTTATTGCTTGTTTTTGAGTTTCCCTTGATCGCAGAGTTTTGCTGCATGATCGCTTCGGGTGGGCCGATTCTTATCGGTGTTGCAGCTTTGCGGGTATAATATATATATATATATATATTCTGGTGATCTTGTCGGCAGCTAAGAGGTTGGTAACCCCCACCCCTCCGCCCAGAGGTTTACAAGCAGTTCAGAACGGGGCCAAGCATGGTGTCTTTGGTTCGTATCTTGATTCCAACAAAACGGAAGTTCCCAACGCTGGGTAAGTAGCTAGTACCCCCCCCCCCCCCATTTCCCCAATAAACCGGTAGCCCAGAGTGTCATAACCACAGGCCTTGGGCTTGCATTGATTCCAAGGACGCTATGCAGATCTTGTGGCCGGAAGAGTAGCCATTTTCTGTTACTCTAAGGGTCCCTTGGTGCCATGAATTGTTTTTTTCAGGGGTTAAAAGGGGTTGAAGTACCTTCTTTTGATCGGCAGTTTTGTGTGGGGCCCGTCTTGACAAATGGGGGGTGTGGTGCTAGTGATTTCAGGCACTCCGAAGTTAAGCCCGTGTATTTGGCTTACTTCATTTTTGTCCTTTGAGCAGAATCATATGCAAATATTGTGTGTATACATATATATATATATATATACATACATACAACAGCACCCTGCAACAGCACCCTGCAACAGCACCCTGCAACAGCACCCTGCAACAGCACCCTGCAACAGCACCCTGCAACAGCACCCTGCAACAGCACCCTGCAACAGCACCCTGCAACAGCACCCTGCAACAGCACCCTGCAACAGCACCCTGCAACAGCACCTGGTCGCAATCCTGAGTCTCACCCACCCCTTCTTCAGTTGAAGTTAGAAACCCTATAGCTTCCAGCTATTTGGGGAAAAACACGGGTCCTTGAATCCACCAGAGGTACTGCAGCGGCTTCCGCATCGAGGAGGTCCTGCTCTATTGGCGCCAGGGGAACCCAGGTTCCCTCACGCCCTGAGTTCGTGGACTTTATACTTTTTCGGAAGACCATTCTGGTGGCCAAAACCATTTGTTTGGACTTGTTTTTGCAAACCCTTCAGGAAGGGAGTTCCTCAGCATCGGGAGGGGTGCCATGGACGCACAGAATCCCACGATCGGCACCAGTTGGGTTTCAACACAAGAACTACTGTACCAGGCCTCGGGTTGTTCAAGCCAATCTTGCCCAATGGAAATGCAAAAAATCAATACGAGTTGGAAGTCGAGAAAACTGTGGTTCGGGCGGATTCTTTGAAAGGACCTGACGGCGAAAGCACCAAAGGACCCAAGTATAGTCTTAAATGTTGTCATGTTTGGTTCCCAGCCGCGGTTTCCCCACTTTACTTTTAAAATGATCTCATGATTTCTTGCTCTCTTGCATTGTCACTCTGAAGCTACCTCTGACAAACATGCGACACATTTCTTTCTGCACTGGCACTGGCCCCTGAAAGTTTTATCGACATGGCGCAGACATATTATGATTGGACCCGGTCTTATCTTCCTTCCAAAGTAGATAGCACAATTCCCGTGTAAGGACAACCAAATGACTAAGCCAAAGCGGGTTGGATTTGCATCCTGCAACAAACAAAACAGCAGCTCTGTACCCATGGAGAGAAGGGTCCCCAGAGGTATTTCATGGAGTTTGTGATACAGATAGCAACCGAGTTGAGAACACTAGCACGCTTACTTCTTTGACATTGCTGGTTGAATTTGGGCCTTACTAGTATCATTGCGATTATATCATTGTTGTTTTTGTTCTCGTTTTGTTTGGTGGGGGATTGGAATTTGTGCGTGTGTGTTTTGCTTGGCAACGGCTAGGAGTCTACCCAAACAACCCCAAATCAGCCCCAAAACGCCCTTAACCAACCTTAAGCCCACCTTAAACCAATCCTAAACCCGTCCAAAACTGTACACCCACCCTTAGCCGGCCCGACACCCGCCCTGAACCAACCCCGAACCCACCCAAACCAACCCCAAACCCTAAACCCACCCTAAATCCACCCTAAAACCATCCCAAACCCACCCTAAACCAACCTTAAGCCAACGCTAAACAGCCCTAAACCAACCTCAGCCAACTCTCCAAAACCAACCTCATCCAACCCCAAAAACTGACCTGAAACCAACCCTAACCCCACCCTAAACCCACCCAAATGAACAACACCCTAAACCGGCCCTAAACTCGCCAGAAATCAACCCGGCCCTTAGCCAACCTTTCAGCAATCCCTAAACCAACCTTTAAGCCAACCACTAAAGCCACCCTAGCCACAAACCAACCCTAAACCGACTGTATCAACCCTAAACCAACCCGAACACCACCTTAAACCAACACCAAGCCAGTCCCAAACCCGCCCTAAAGTGACCTTAAACCAACCCCACGCCAGCCTTACGCCAACCGGAAACTTCAGAACAACTGACATCCTCGCAGTCGTTTTCCTCAAGGTAGCGTTTGTTATATGATCAGCAAGTTAAGCTTCCAGCCAGCTCCCGTATTTAGCTCCCTGCAGCCAAAGGCCTTGCCGCTGGATACCCTTTGGGTTTCAGTCCGCCGCGCCAACCGACAGCGGATGTAAGCGCTAATTCACGATGGGGTTTCTGCTGAGACAAATTGTGCGGCAACTTGGAATCCCCCAAAAGAAGAACAACTTGCATCGAGGAGCTGCTGAAAACACCGAGCCATCCGGCAAGGGCTCTGCTGACCATTTGCAAGAAGTTTTGCCAGCGTGGACGGACAACATCCAGCAGTTGGAAGGTGGTTTGTCCCAGTTATGCGAGCTTTTCACTGAGGGCGCTACTTGCCAGAGGATTGGGAAGCCACTTGCAGGCGGGGAGGGAGGGAGCCACGGCGCAAGAGCTGAGAGGCTTCGCCCAGCTCTCCAGCTTCCAACATGGTTCCCCTTTTGTTTCCGTTTAACCCAACTCTAAAAAGCATATAGGCTTCCTTTTTGGGTTATGTTGGATCGAAATAGATGGCACTGGTTTGGGTTGGTTTCATTCCATTTACCAGGGCCATCTATTCTCCCAAAAGCACACCTATGCTAAAAAGGGAAGCCTCAGAAACAGTTGTTCCACGACAAATACCGAAACCCCATTGCAAGTGTAGAAAGCTTCTTGAAAGACGTGCCTGGAGTTTTGTGAGGCAAACCGTGGCTGCGCCATGCCAATTGGAATGCTCGGATTTGGGGGTGTCGTTCTCTTGATCGGGGTGGTTTGAGCAGGACATCAAAATGAAACCGGGGTCCGTCCCATGCCACACCTGCACACATGGGCCAAAATCCAGGGGATCATCAATCTCGGCAAACTGTTTCAAGCTTATGCCTGGGCAATGGTACGCCGTAACCGAGCTCGCCCATGATGAAGCTACTTGGGTTTCCTTGTTGCCAGGTTGTGAAATATACCACGTTGCCCGAATCAACCTTGGCACGAAGGCTGTTGGAAGAGTATTTGGTGCCTTTCCAATTGTGGCACGGCCAATGTGAAGTACGTGTTGTATCAGTATCCTTGTCGGGTCGGTTTTGTTCAAATTAGGTGACATTGGTTTCGATTTTTGCATTTTTGATAGTACCGTCTAATTTGTTTGTGGCACTGTGTCAGGTTCCCCCCCCAAAGTAGAAGATCCCCACTTCCGTAGAGTTTTGCAATATCGCTTCGATCAGAATCCTTCGGCATTATACATTGATTGTTTTACAGCCACCATACACTCTTGGTTGAAACATCTTGTTCAGAGGAGAAAGGGTCATGTACCCATGGGGTTTACAGTTACCCTTTGCAGGCATTTGAGAATCTCATACTTGTTCAACTCCGCCTTTTAACCTGTTGGTTCCCCTTCTGGTTCATTTCGAGTCAGCTTCCCCCCGTGTGTGAGATATACGAATTCCGTACACAACCAAGGCAAACCATCCATGCTTCAGAGACTATCCCCTGCTTAGCCTCGCTCATGGCACTAAACAGGCACCCATCAAACTATGGTGGAACAGCCTCAGCACAAGCATTGAATTCGAATACCAAGCAAAAACAGTCCTGCCAAGAGCGGTTTCAGAGTCTGGGTCGCTTTGAAATGCCTCGCTGGATTTGCAGTGAACTGGATTCGGACCTAGGCCATCTTTGAAGGTAAAGCCAACTTGGGAATCCGGAGCACCCTACCAAGGGCTCCCCCTACAGATGTTGGTTTGCCTAAAAGACGAGCCACCCCGACCAGTACGGTTGTCCGGATGAATCTAATGTTATTTTGCTGGTGCTCAGTAATGAAGGGATTTGGGAATGAACTAATGAATCTGAGGATTCCCTTTAAGGAAATTATAGGGAATGGTTTGTAGGGGGCATTGCCTCATTCCCTGCTGAGAACCAGCAAGGCAAAGCAGTGCAGCCAACATGTTTCGCCGCTTGAGGCCGGCTTCCGATGGTGGCTCGGCGTCTGTGCTCGGAGTCCTGGACATGGTTTCAGCATGTCCCAGCTCTATGGCCCCAACAGTCGATGACCGGGGCTGGGTCGTATCAGGCCGTGTGTGTGTGTGTGTGTCTGTTTGGGGGACACACAAAATGATGATTTTCCGGGCTGGGGTTCCCTGTAAAGAACCATGTCCAACGGTTCCAATATTTTTCCTAGTTTTGAAAGGCAGGGGAGCTGCGGGTACGCTGGAAGTAAGTTTCCTCTTTTCTCCGGAGCGAGAGCAATCAAAACCTCAATTCTGAGCCCAGAAATGTTTGTTTCGACAAATCCAGGCGGAAGTAACATTCCTCTTTTCTCTGGAGCGAGAGCAATCAAAACCTTAATTCTGAGCCCAGAAATGTTTGTTTCGACAAATCCAGACCATCATTTCGGTGTTCATTTCGGGGGGACTTTGACAATTGCCTTTGTTTAGATCGGTTCTTCATACCGTTTTTCATGAATGTTTGCTGGCGGATTCCTCGCCTCACAAACATATTCGGAGCCCTCAATCGAGCGGCCCGGATATGCCACCATCCCGAATTCCGCTGAGCCTGGAAATGTGTCGGCCCATGTAACGTGCCAACGGGAATTGTTTGCAGCGAAGAGAACTGAGAAGGTACTTGGACCCTCAGGGTTACAAAAAGAAAAGCATTCCAATCCATGAATTAGGGCGCGCGTGGGACGAAGCGCCTGCATCTCCTTGTGTTTTCCCAAGCCCAGAGGCGGTTGATGCTAAGATGGTGCCCACTTCCAAGCCCACAAAGGGAACATGGGTTCGCGTTCACTGGCACCAGCCGGGGCATAGTTCGGGTTGGCGCCTTCAGGTGGCTCACGAGGCCGAATGCGACCGCTTCAATACGTATCAAGGTCGCCATTTCTATGGCGGATAAGTTCACGAAGTCCATGGGTGTGTTTTTGTTTTCGGAATACGTGTTTTTTGTTTTGTGTGTGTGTGTGTGTTTTTAAGGGAAACCAAAAGGAAACCAAAAGGAAACCAAAAGGACACCAACGCTTTTCAGGGATTCCCTCATTTTAAGATCAACCAGGGAAGCGTCCAACAAAGCGACAATTTGGCCACTGCACACGTGACCAGTTTCACATATTAGGGCTGATCAATATTCCTGGTGAATGACCCTGGGTAGCTTTTCCCGTTATGTGGGGAAACACATCTTTTTTGGGGGGGTTCCCTCATGGTAACCCATGTATCCCGGACCTTTTGATCAATCCCCATCTGGAGGGGATCAATCCGGCTGAACATGTGGGCCGTTCGCTCAGGCCTGAAGTGGGCGAGCTGGTGCGGCAGAAGCTGCTGGAGCGACAGCAGGCAATTCGCCCTTCAGCGGCGGTTTCAAACATAGTGTGACCGTTTCTGGGCCAGGTCGTGTCAGGAAGCGTTGTTTAGGTTGACAAAGCCTTCAAGATGAAACATAGTGTCAACGTGCTGTTTTCTGTGTACACCGGATTGGGGCCCAGTGTGCAGTGAACATGAGTGTTGACCCCGGATACCGCTAGTTTGCTGATGCTCACATGAGGGGTAACCAGCTCACCATGATGTCGGTCCTTGACTCGGGGATCCAATTCATATTCCAGTTGCTTGCTGACTCGTGTCCAACCCCGGGTTGTACAAATAGATTGTTGAGAGGGCGTTCCCGTCAAACAAATAACACGGGGGGCCTCAGCTATGCGGGATCAAACGGATCGAAATCCCCAGCAGCATTTGACCGCAAAGTTTGATCCAAGAGCCAACCGCCAACCCAAACCATCAAAGAGAGGGTAGCCCATGAGGCCTTTCTTTGGGGGAGGCCCTTTGGGCAGCATCATTTGCAGGGTGGTCCCCATTCGAAAGAAGGAAACGGTCCCCATTGCAAGTCCTGGCACTTTACATTTTCCTTCAGGGGGCAATCAGAAGGTCCAACACAAGGGCACCCAACGAGTCTCAAGTAATGGAATTTCGGGCTGTGGTTGCAGGCAGGGTGGGGCGAAACTTGTTTAAGCAAGACCCTGAGTCCCTTTCCGGAGCAAAAGGAGGTTGTTAAACCACAACTGCTGCGATCACCCTGTTATCTCCAGAGGTCGAATCGAAGAGTTCCCAACGTCAGCCGTCCAACTCGAGGGCCCCAGAACACAAGGTCCCCCGCTCAGCTGGGCGCAACAGTCCGGTTCAGAGGCTTGGCTCTTGGCGTGACAGATCAGTGAGTCCCTCTTAGCTTTTTGGGATTGGGTTCAAAGGGAAACCACGAGGAAAGTCCATCATTTTGGAGGGGCACCCCCGAGAAAAAAAAGACTCTCGCGTGGAGGTGTTCTCAAGCCCGGAAATTCTCTCAAAGCTTTATATATATATATGGGGACATTTGATGAATAATTTCCTGTTTCATTTTTCGAGGTCCGTGGAATATGGACCAGAAGGAACACTGATATGTTGTTGTTGGGCGCAAAAGCTGAGGTTGTAGAATAGAAGGACTAGAATTGGTTTCAGCCTACCCCCACAATGACATATTTGCTCCTTGTTTAGAGGCATTTCTCTTGGATTCGAGGTTTTGCCAATGGAACGTGGGCTCGCTGTGCAAGATTCGTCCGCAGCGAGCCAGCTCGCCGCTGGAAGCTGGCTTAAAAGGGTTTCGGACCTCGAACGTCTTATCTCCGGGTGAGCTCGGCGAATAATAGGCACAACCCATATATTATATGTATATATTATAATATGCATGATATTGTCTTGTTCAGGCGGCACAACACGGCGTCAACGTTGTTGAAAGCATCTGCTTCTTTTAGTGGCAGTCATTTGTAGAGGTGTTCAGGAAGGCATCGTTTTGCCATGGAGATGTGTCAGGCTGCAAGGGTAAATGCATCGCCTGAAAGCTTTGGAATGAGAAAGACGGACCTTTGGGCCATCTCACCGCTCTAAAAGGGACATAACAGCTTCCAGGGAGGGTCTTGGAGGGTAGGGGGTTCGGGGGTTCCGCGACTGGGGATACCACCTGGGGACGCATGTTTTACATGGACGCAAATGTGTGATTGTACCTACATGTGAATAAAGTGCTCTTGTCTTTCTCAACAATTGGCATCGGTTTGAGGCGTTTCATTCTTGCCAACTACGTTTCAGGAGCTAGTTTGTTGCACAAACGATTCTTCTGTAATCATGACTTCATTTGGCTTCAAAGTACTTCCTACCCCATTCTAAGCATCCTACATGCCTATTCCATAGCGAGCTCACTGATCGGGGCTCAAAGCGCGAAATTCCATGGTGCAGGTCCGAGACTTGGGGATGGAATTCTCACTTGGGTATGGGCCAAAATTAAACCACCAGGGGACCACAGGTTTTAGTCGTTGTTTCCATTTACCAGGGTGCCATTTTGGGTACATATGTTTGACCTACGGCCATTTCAGGTTTTAGCATTCCTTTGAACTTTGCAGATTATTTCAACCTAGGGTTCTTTACAAAAACAACCGTACTTGGTGGTTTGGATTCGTGGTTTGGGATTTGAACCCCTGGTTCTTGTAGAGAGTAAATGGGACCACCTCCCGTAACCACCAAACCACCAATCTAAAGCGCCAATTGGAGGGAAGCAGCAATCCAAACCACCAATTGGCTGATTCATGATATTTGGGCCCCCTGGTAGAACACAAACCGGCCCCACCCACTTTGGCGTTCCAGGCTGGCGAGGCCGCGGTCTCCGCCAACGTGGGGCTGGCGAATGCGGCTGGGGCCTCACGCGCGACGGATGGGCCTCAACTTGCTGGTGCTTGGGAAATCACCGAGAGGTTTTTGGCAATGCACCGGAAGTTTTTTTTTCTTCTTTTTTTCTAGGACATTGCAAGGGATTGTTCATACGGGTCATGTCATTCCCTAGCGGGAAGAGCAAGAACACGTCCAAAAAGACCGTCAGGGCCCCGGAAAGGAGACTCTACCTTTGGTTTACTCCCCAACCATTCTACATGGAGCCCATTTGGGCCATGTCCCAAATGGAGATTGAATTGGATTTGGGGGGGTTGTATGCTAATCTACGGGGCAGTCTCGGATGGTTTGCGATTACAAAGCTCATTTTCGCGGGATGGCGCACAGTTAAGCGAATTTGCCTCGCGATCGCGGGACAGCACTGTGTGTCACATATTTTGTCCCTTATTATTTCCCTCCCACCAACAATCGTGGAAGTGCACTGTCGCCAATCCCTTATGGGTGCAAAAGAGGATTATGAAACCAACATCGCGGAGTTGCACCATTTTGTTTGAACCAACTGTACTGAGATGAGTTGGGGTTTACTGGTTACTTAACCCTCCAACTGCGGTCTCCTTCAAGAACATATTTTTTGCTCTAGGCTAATCCAAACATGCAACATAATTAGAACATTACTTTTGGAGTACCCCAGGTGTCGGCCAAGACACGGGCTTACGGCTACCAGGGGTTGAGGGGCAAAGGCAAATCTAACCACTTCGCCTTTGCTTCTGAACCATTTTATGATGCCCCCCAACCCCCCCATGCAGAACTGCTCGGAGCCATAGGTTCGTTGCGGTATCACTTTTCCATGTTGCAAGTATTCTGCTCTTGTGCCAGGCGTTTCGGAGCTATAGTCCAACATGTTTGTTGAAATTTCCTATATCCCAGCATTTTCCAGCAAGTTCTTGCTCACACCCTGAGTTCCTGGACTTACTATCTCAGTGGAGTAAACGTTTAGACTTTTTTGGCCGGCCGACTGAGGAATTGTGGCATGGTTCCGAAACAAAGCGGAAGGACCCCATCGGATTTTTTTGGGAATCTCAATTGCCCAAAGCCGACCTTTCGATTGTTTTGTTTGTTTCCCAATCTTGGTCCATATTCAGTGATGGCCAAAAGGCTTGGTGGTTTGTGCCAGTTTTAATAGGGTTTCATCCAAGTGCGAAGTGGATTTTGTCCATCCACAGGAATTCCCGTGTTTGTTTCGAAAGATCTCCGTTCAAGTCGCTCTCCGCGGCCATTTCAAAGATCTTCGCGGAGATTTGTGCGGCCCGCGGAAGAGATGGGCGTGTGCTCAGGCGGATGCATTGGGAGTCGGAACCTGCGGTGCATGTGCGATGCGTTTGGCGTGCATGGGAGGGTACCAGCTGGTCTTTGGTTTTCCCTTCCAACAGGGATGAGAAAGGTAACCTCAAACTTCCACTCCGGCATTGGTCTCGCCAAAAAGAACATGCATGTTCAGCCAAAAGCACGTGCCTTGCGCCTCAAACCACTCAGACACGCGTCGTTTGCCTCCGAAGTGCAGGCAAAGCTGCTGCGGCGGAGACGAAAACACCGCCGAAGAAGCGAGACTCCAGTACCATCAAGAAGGACATTAAGGCCGGGAAAAAGGCCGATGGTAGGTTCAGGGGTTCTGTTCCCCACAAATTAACATGGAGCCTGGAACCCAAAGAAAACGATCCATTAGCAGAGGAAACTCCCTTCAACAATTCGGACCCCTTTTTGGATTGGGTCGGGATCAACTTGAGTTTCCACCCCACCTTGCCCGCCCTTTTTGGCAGACTGAAGGGCAAAATTGGTTTAAGCACGAAACATTTATGCCGCCATTTGCCGAGCGATGTTAACGGGAAACCAAAGCAAGGTTGCTTAAATCGAGTCATTTCAACTTGTAAGGTCGGTTGGGACCGTAGGCCACTTTTCTTTCGAGCTCAGTTTCCTGGTGGATGGCACTTTTTGTTGGTTCTAATCAACTGCCAGCGCGTGTGTTTGCCAAAAGCCCTTACGGGTCCAGCTTTGCCAGGGCTGAACGCTGGTTTTCACCCAACGATCTGAGTTGGCATTTGCCAACTGAAGGCTGGTGAGGACTTTTGGATTCATTTTGAAAACCATCCAACATGGGGTTCTCCCAACCAAGGCATATCCCAGGACTGAGACGTTTGGCGTTTAGCCAAAAAAAAATCCTTGGAGCACTGTGAGAGGGGCCAAGAAGTGTATGCCCTATGCTTGGCAGCCTGTTGGTTTTGGGATGACAAACCAGCAAACAGCATAGCAGGACCAGACAGAGGCGGCCAAGTGAGAGCAAAACAAGCCCCCCCACAGACTTTTTTGTTTGGGCCAGAAACGGCCCGCTTGCGCGCGCTTGTACGCTTCCTTTCTCAAAAGACCTGCACCGTTTGTAATGTGTCTTTAGGAAATGTGAAAGCAAGCGATTTCTGGTAATGCCCCGTGTGAATAGCTTCTGAACATTCGGGTGGATTGACTTTTGACCCACTAGGCACCTCCTTCCTTGATGCTCGTTTGGGCACATGCCATGAGAACCGCGATCATCGCCTTCCTCCGTCCATCGGCCTCCGACTCTCCGATTCTGTCGCGAGTTGGCCAGGATGGGGGAATTGGACATGCGCAGTTCATCATAGAAAATACCGGCAAGATCACGGACCATTACCAAATGGCCGGATGCCTAGAAGTCTGACGAGCGCAACCTGCAGGTGTTCAGAGAGTTGTTGTTTGTCGGCCTGTCGGTTTCCATTCGGGCTCTTGTGTGTGTGTGTGTGTGTGTGTGTGTGTGTTTGCCCTTTCGAGGTTGTTTCTGTCGGACAAAAAAGGGGCCGTGGCGGACATCTACTAGACTTTAGATTCGACCAACCATGCACTGTGTACTTTTACTTTCCTGCATCATCCCCCTGAGCAATGGCATAGTAAGATAGTTTAGAGAAATCGCTTTTCGAGCTGTCTTTCAACTGTCCAACCAAAGGTGTGGCTTTGGTTTTTGTAAGATGGCGTTCAAAAGGTTCAGACCGGCCGCGCATTCACTCCATTATGAGGGTTGTAGAATGCAACCCGGTTTATGCTCCCCCGCAAATTAACATGGAGCCTCAGAAGGGTGTCACCCAAAAGGGGGCCCTCCATGCATGGATTTGTTTTTTGGGATTCCCGCCAATCTAACGAGAATAAATGTAAATTCAAGCACCTGGCCTGCGCCCTTTCTTTCAATGAATTCTTTGGATTTTCATGGCACCCGGACCGGGACCCAGACAGTACCTGCACCCCCCGGGTTCAAGCCCAGGCTTTGTCGGGAGTCTCGAGGAATCTTCGGAGTACCGGGGAGTTTCTCAAACTGGCTATGACTCTCAACGAGAACCCGCCCAAATGTTTAGTGGATATAAATCATCTCCGCCCAAATGATGTCCACCAGAGGGTCCGCAATAAGATTCACACCCACATGGTGACCCCTTTTTTGTTGATATTTCAAGGGACGAGGAAGGAAGCCAATGATTTTAGGGGACTATGTTGAGAAACACCCACCGTCTTGGCAAGGGTGAGAAGTTTTGGCCGGGGGGATGCTTCTACCGAGGACAAGAAGAAGTTGGGCGAGGGGTCCTACGGCTCCGTGTGCAAAGCGACCAACATCTCCACGAAGGCAGGGAACATGCGGAAAATGGTGCCCCCGTTCACAAAACATACCTTAAAGCAGGTTTTTCGGGCGCTATCCTCTTCCCAACAGTCCCCGAAGTGGACTGAAGGGGTTGGAAGGCTAACTACCATCCTCTAGAAAAGCCCCTTGTCCACTTCCATGATTCTTGGAGAAAGGCCAAAGGGTGTTAAGAGCAGAAAGTACCAACGCACCCTTGGGGTGATGGAGTGGGAAGACTGCGCCAGGCAATCCGAGCCGTGAAAACAATCGCCAAGACGCAGATGAAGAATATCGAGCGCTTTAAGCAGGACATGGGAGGGCGGCAACAGGCCTGTAATTAGAAGACTCACTTTCCCAGGTTCTGGACTTTGTACAGTTTAAGCGGGAACATGTTCACTGTGATCAGGACTTGTTTGCTATTTCAGATTGGTTGGATCTTCAACCTTATGTTTGGGGAACCTGTGGTTGGCCCACCCCACGGAAAGTGACACATTTTCCGAGGGGGCAAAGTCGCGTCACCAAGGGGAAGGTGTCCTGTGGCTCAGTGCGTGTTTTTTTTTTGTTTTCCCACCGGTGCAGGAGATTGCCATCATGAAGATGATGGACCACCCCAACATCATCAAGCTCTACGAGTCCTTCGAGGATCTCAGGACACCGAGAGACCTTTGCTTCGGATCGCTTTGTCCTTGATAAAAAAATGGAGTAACCTGTTTGCAGCCCGGTGGTTTGGGAGGGTGCAGCTTCCCTCTTGTTGAATAGGATATGTGGTTTGGAGCTGAGGAGGTGGTTTCCCATTTGCCACCACAAAGAACCAGGGGTTCAAATCCCCAAACCACGAATTGGGGGTACGGTGAGTTAGGGGTGGCTGTAGAAGGCAATCACGCATTTTGGGGTTCGGAAACTGGAGCGGTCTTCGACCCTGGCTGTAATGGAATCATAGCGGACTTGCTATTTAACCAATGGAGATAAGCAAGTTACATGTGCTGAGCGATTGCCATTGCTATCCAACAGATGATGAACTCGGCCGAACATGTTGCCACGTTCTGTGATACCCTTCCGGAATCCGCAGTAAATGTGATCAAGCAAGTGCACTCCGAGGTGGGATGACAATCAACCACTTTGGTATCCTTGTTGGTTTCCATTCAAGCCAACCCCAAAAAAGAGATCCTCAAAAGAAGACCCACGAAGTTCCCACAACCACTTTGGTATCACAGACTGCATCTCATTGCGTACGACCATGTCCGGCTTGCGCTCGGATCAAGCCGCTGTGCCACTTTGTTTGCGAGTTTGCTCAAATGGAAGGGAATTAACCTAGTGGAAAGTACCCCCGCAATAAACATCCACCGAAGCTCCA